AATAAGGCTCACTCGAGCGACAACTTCTTTGCTCGAGCGGAGAAAGAGAAACCTCAGAAGTTTTGCAGCGCTACAGTGAAACTTTTGGAAGCTAACATTTCACGCTCGAGCGGACGGCTGCAACAAAATGCTGGGAGCAACAATTCTATGCTCGAGCGGCGGTTTCCCTGCTCGAGCCGCCCTGAAAACAAAATGTCACATACCATGTAATGGTGAAGTCAACAACAGACTTGTGGAAATTGCATTGCAAAAATGGGTGCGAGTGGAAGCTCAGAGCATGTAAGCGTGTCAAACATGGTTTATTTAAGATTACTAAATATGAAGGACCTCACACATGTGTATCTGCAACATTTACACAAGATCATGCAATGTTGAGCATGAAGTGCGAGAGCTTGTAAAGGCGGATCCATCAATCAAGATCTCTATACTGAGAGCCAGTATTAGGCAAAAGTTTGATGGTTTCTTATCATCTTATAATAAGGCTTGGAATGCAAAGCAAAAAGCCATTGCAAATATCTTTGGGGATTGGAATGAATCATGTAACGCCCTCAAAAATAAATGCATAAATCACTCATTCATAACATCGTTAGACATAGGAAAATAAAATATATTCATTCATCAGAGTATTCTTTACAAAAAGTGCTACATGTTGACAACAAAAGTAAATGCCCAACGGGTTTACAAACTTTCCAAGTCAACACTTGGTTATCACAAAAGAGAGTTCTAACTCTTTACATCTTAAGCCCTTGGCCTGGAATTACATATAACATCAACAAAATAACAAAAAAGAGTCTTCAACTCCTAAACCTCCCAAGCTATCTTGGAGGCGGCATATCACCTGCACCTGTAAAATAGTGTCTCAAATAGGGTGAGCCAAAGCCCAGTAGAGATATACTAAACCAAATATAAGAAATAACTAAAACATTAGCATCTAATAAATGTTCGACACATGTACATTGATTAACATCATTTCTATAACCCATCAACATTGATATTCATCTTTCAACTCGGTTTCATTTCTATTTCCAATTCACTTTATTAACATGGCTCATTTATCCGAGTAATTCAAATGAGACTACAACTCATAGAAATAACCACACTTCAATTCATCGACAATTCAAAATGAGACTACAACTCATGTCATTAACACTTCAATCATCAATGTTATTCAAACGTATATAAGATTTCAGGACTTTCACCCTGGACACTCCGGCCAACTTAATTATCAATGGAGTTCATCCCCTATCTCCTCCCAAACAATGGAGTACATCCCTTATCTCCTTCCACACAATGGAGTACATCCCCTTTCTTCTCCCAAACAAATATACATATGTAATGTATTTAAACACTTCATCACATACAATGATCAATTAATGCACATATTCAATGTGTTATTCCAACTGTCATATTCAATGACATATCTCAATTGATTAGTTTCGGTTTACCTAATCATCATGCAATTCTACAACAATCATGGCTATCCTCCACCGATAGCCCAACCCAGTTATTTCTACACAGATAAGTAAATTTACCAAACAAATAATTTATTACATTTTCCATCGGTGAGTGATTCATCAATCCAACTACACCAATTAGTTCCAATTCCATTCAATTTCACAATTTCCAAATCAATTTCATTTTCCCAAAATTACCAAATTAATTATACAAATTAATTGCTTAAATTCAATTAGGGCATTTTCCCATTTTCTCAAACATTGATCCTAAGACCCAATTTCACCTATCAAACCCACAAAACCACATTCTCAAGACCTCACATACATATTGAGCTTAAAAACATAAAACCCCTCTCTCAAATATTACAAATCACAAACCCCAATTTCCCAAATTTCCAACCTCACACCATTTATACAAAATGACTAACATTTAGGTTAAAGCTCATAAAGAGGAGTAGGTTATCCCTACATCAAATGAAGTGACTCAAAGGAGATGATGAAGAAAACTCAAGATGCTCCAAATCCAAGGATTTTCGGATCTAAATGTAGCCCACGTAAAGCTCCAACTTTCTTACAAAGAGACTAGGGTAGAGAAACCCAAGAACAAGGTATATTTGTAGAGAGAGAGAGTTTAGAGAGAGAGGCAGCCAAAACTAGGGTTTGGAGATAAAAAGATATCAAAAAGTATATGAGGGAACTGTTGCTGCGATCTGATATATGCGAAGCTCGTTCGAGCGAAGAAGTGGTCGCTCCAGAGACCAGACACAATAGACACCTCGCTCGAGCGCAAGAAGCCTCGCTCGAGCGCACAATTCAAAGCTTCAGGTCTGCAACCCAGACGCACGCTCGAGTGCAAGAGTGCTCGCTCAAACGAAGGAACACAAAACATAGAGCTCACTCGCTCGAGCGACAAAATCCTCGCTCGAGCGAAGAATACCAACCTTTAGGTTTTTCAAAGATGCAGACACACGCTCAAGAGCAAGAGTGCTCGCTTGAGCTAAGAGACACATCAAAAAAAGCTCGCTCGAGCACAATAACCTTCGCTCGAGCGAAGATGCCAAATTCTGGACAGCAATCATTTGTTCCAACTCACAACCAACCTATAGCAAACTCACCCAACTTGTCCCAAAACTCAAATACAAAGGGTCTAAAGGACGGAAACAAAATATAGACAACAACAACCATGACGGAACCCAAGTCCGAAACCAAATAAATGACGAGAAAAAACGGGATCGCTATAAATCATACCACATCTTACTAAAATGGATGATGGATATGATGGATTCCAATCCAGAAACTATCGTTTCATGGAAAATAATGTCGTCAGATGCTGCAAATAACGTTATATTTGAACGAGTGTTCTAGACATTCAATTCTTCTATCGAGGGTTTCAAACATTACAAGCCAGTCATTAGCATAGATGGAACCTTTCTAACTGAAAAATATAATCAAATAATCATGTATTTCAAGTTGCCTTTACCGTAGTGGAGGAGGAAAGACTAGATACTTGGTCATGGCTTCTAACATGCATTAGGGAGTACGTGACACAACGGATTGGCCTCTGTCTTTTATCTGACAAACATGGAGGAATCTTATCATCTGTGAATCGCTTACGTTGGTGGCAACATCCAAATGGTTATCATCACTACTACATTCACCATCTTACCAGCAACTACCATGCAAAATACAACAATGTGATATTGCGAGACACGATCACTTCGGCAGCTTATGAGAATCAAAAAAAGAAGTTTGATCAGAAAATGAAGTCAATAAGAGACTTAAATTCCAAAGCTGCTGATGAACTTGATCTTGTGCCACTTGAACTGTGGGCGCTAGCAGATGATGGTGGCAAACGTTATGGAGTTATGACCACAAACCTTTCTGAAAGCTTCAATGAAGTATTAAAGGGTGCACGACATCTTCCTATCACATCATTGGTATAACTAACTTTTTATAAATGCGTTAGTTATTTTCAGGAGCAATGCAACAAGGCCAATGTTGAAATGCACGCCGGTGAAGTTTACAGTGCTTATGCAAAATAGATGCTCACCAAATGGGAAAAAAAGTCCAGGGGTCATTCAGTGCGGAGTTTCAATATGAATTTGGGTATTTTCGATGTTCAAACTACAGTGAACCCCTTATATTCGAATCGGGGTTTGCATCTTCATGTGGTCAACTTGATGGAAAGAACATGCGACTGTCATAAATGGAAAAATTATAAAATTCCATGTTCTCATGTCATTGCAGTATGTAAATTTGCCAGCCTTGGCCACCTACAATATGTTGATGAATATTACACATTGAAAGCACAAATGGCATGTTATCAACACACATTCAATCCTGTAGTTGATGTTGCTTATTGGCGAGAACTTTCCAAAACTCTATCCAAGGACAAATGGCATGTTATCAACACACATTCAATCTTGTAGTTGGCTAGGACTCGTGGTCGTCCAAGGACAACACGACTTCAAAATGATACGGATTGGCGAGTCTCAAACCAAACAAAATTGTGGATTGTGTGGACAACAAGGTCATAATTGGAGGAGATGTCCAAATAGCAATGTAATAGCCTCAAGTAGTCGGTCACATGACTAATTATTATCCAAATCGATTGTACCATGTGTTGTATTTCAATATTGAATGTAATGTTATCAATCTTAAGTTATTTTCTAGCTTGTGTTATTGCTTGTTGTATTTTCTTCAGCAAAAGCTCTGCTATTTATCAAGTAATAAATCATCGACAATTATGTGTTGGATGTGTTGAGAAGATTAAGTAAACATTGAGGTTAAATCGATGAGGCTGATTGATGACAAGTATATTTGAAAAAGAGTGTTTGCACTACTGAGTGTTCATCCACCGACTGTCCAAAATGAAAATTTTTCTTTAGAGACAGCCGCCCAGATGTCCCGCCTGGATGTCTGGTGGGGTCCCGATCGTGAAGATTATTTCCGCAGTTGTTGAGTATACTGTTGAGTTGACAACTGGTGCGAAGCAAAATTGAGCTGCAACAAAACTGAAAAAATCCCTTGTCTGGTCGTTCGGCTGAATGTCCCTTAGGACGTCTGGTCCCGTTTGGGTTTAGTAACTAAAATATTATATTTTCCGTTAGTTTTTTAACGGAAATAGGCAGATGGCTTAAAATTAAAAACAAAGTTAAAGTTTACAATTTAAATTGATAAAATTAAAAAGTCAAGATTTATTTTGTTACAAATGACAAATCTTGAGATTTTTTATTTTATTTTATTTATAATTTTACTGAATTGTTTTTCCTCATTCTTTGTTTTTATTCTATATTTTTTTTTTTTAATTCTGTTCCTGGAATGTAACTTCTAAAAAAGAGATTTTGGAAACAATATTGTTTTTGTGTTTTCTAAGAATGAAAAAACAAAAAATAAATAATAAAAAAAACTCCCCTATTTTCTTACACTAGCCATGATTTCATATTTCACACTTTTATAACAAAAATAGAATTTATGAAGGCAAAGCATCTCAAAATAGTAGAAACAAGTAAGTTGTTGAATTGCCAATGATGTGCAAAGTAATTCGCATGCTAGGACAAATGAATAAAGGGCCAAATTAGCAATTCATGTTTTCAAATACAAAAAATACATTCCTCAAGTAATTGAAGTAGCAAATGAATAGAGAGAGAGAGAGAGCCAAATCCAATCATGTTTTCAAGTATAAAATACAACAATCTATCTTCATTCTTCTTTTGCTATGAAAATATGATTGTGCACATCAAAAGTTTTTAACAACTCGATTTAATCTTACAAGGACAACAAGAACCATCATTCTGCAATTACCCGAAAAGCAAAAAGCAGATAACATAACACAAGCCTTCTGTGATGTCATTGCACCGATATTACTCTCCTAGACTTACTCCGAGTTGTGAGGGAGGGAAAAAAACTTGGAATTCCACTTAAAATACTGGAATAGGAATTCAAAGACTGTCTTTATCACGATTCGTTGAAGGAACCGCTTCTAGATTTTTTTAACTCCTATGATGGTAAGCAGCCTTTGTAATGGGAATGTAGAAACAATGAAGGTGTTGATACCTCCCTCTCCCACTAGTGCATTGAAATTGATGACAAACAACTGAAGAAGCTTCTTAGTCTTTCCTTTTTGTTGTCGTAGCCTTCGAAATTTGAGCCATACCGGACAACAGAAGTTTTAAAGACCTCACAGAGTACGCAGTTGCACAATGAACCTAAAGGGAACACCCAAAACAAAAAAGGAAAAGGTTAAGAATGATCTCTTTAACAACCACCAGAACTCAGTTCAAAAAAATAAATAAATAAATAACAACCACCAGAACCAAATGAACTTTCTGAACAAGCACACAAGTGTTTGTAGCTTCTTACAGGATCCCTCAACCTTGTTTGGGAATAACTTAAATAAGCAGCTTTTTTGCTAAAAAAAGCCGAAAGCAAAAAAAGTCCTGTTTGGGATGACTTCTCCATAAAAAAACAAATTTTTTTACCAAATTTGTGAAAAAGAAGATTTTTCCCTCAATACTTTTAGAAATTCCACCGTGTCCCTACAAGTGTTCCACAATACTAATATGGTAATTTCTCACCAAAAAGCAAGTTTAAAAATACTCAAAAAAATGGTTTTTTTTAGCAATTATCAAATGCATAAGCGTTTTTAGATTCTTAAGAAAGCAAAAAAGCTACTAAAAATGCAATAGCAAAATACATTTATGGACATCCCCAAATTTGACATTCGGAACAAGCCTCTATGCCACTGCTAGACACATTTAGTCAGAAAAATTTGTAAGTGCATGTGCGTGTGTGAAGTAAGACCACACCACAAGGATGAAGAAGAAAAAACTATAAATTCATTCAAATCCAATAGACAAGTTAAGAAGAAGTGTGTTAGAAAAGAAGCCAAATACCTATTCTTGCTAATCGATCTACCCATTTTGGGATCTTGTTTCCTGTCAGCCTGCAAATCCACCAAGAAAATTGCTATTGGTTCCACAATAATTCTATGATAACCTTGCTCCGTATTATGCTAATTGGTCCTTATTATGAATGCAATTATGTGTTTGATATGATTCTGTGTGCCATTTATGTGAAAATATGTGGTTTTGAATTTCTATCTATTCACCGTAGGAATATCTGTTTGATTATCCGCTTCGGAATTTAAATTGAAGGCCCTATCGGCCGCAGAACCCAAAATTGACTGCGCCATTGTGATGGGCGTAATTTTTAGAGCCTACGGTGAAATTTAATTGAAAATTGATTCGAATCAAATTAAATAGATTAAATTGGTGCTTTAGTGCTCAATTATTTAATCTTAATCAATTGTGCTTATGAGAGCCTATATAAAGGACCTTATACACTCAATTCCTCTCTTTTATTTCATTTTGGCTGATTTTGGCTCTCTAGAGAGTGAGAGAACTGAATTAGAGAGGAAGAGTGTAGGAGATTGAAGGGTTGGTCAAGAAATTAGAGGATTTTGAAGCTACACTCAAGAATTTAGCATAAGTTTGGAAGATTAAAGCTCCTAGGTGAGTAATCAACCCTTGATTCATGGGTTTGAGTTGTAATATTGTGAATTGAAGACTAATTGATAAGTTAGATCATAAGTTGTGTTGGTTTTTGTCACGACCCAAACCCGCCCCTATGGGTTTAGCACCGTAGTCGGCCAGTAATCCGAGATTACCGAAGGCCTGCTTAACAGTAATACAGTAATACAGAGTATAGGGGCTGGCGAAGCCAAAACAGTAAATAGACAGTATCCAATGAGCTGTGACAGTCTGTATGCAAAAGACTTTTCATTCAAATATATATATATATATATACAGTCAGACCAAACAGCATGTACATATATACAATCATTCAGTCAGGGACCTAATCCCTATTAAACAGTACAGTACAGTAAACAAAACGGTTACAGAGACGGAAGGGGAAGCTAAAACACCCCTAAGCCATAACTTGGCAGGCTCGGAACCTCGTATTGAGGCACATAGGTTGGCTTGACAAAACTGGAGTTCACCCCGGTGCTCCTAGCTGCGGTCTGGTGCCTGTACACCTACATATATATATAAGTAGTGAGCTGAAGCCCAGTGAATAACACAGTGCGTAAAGGGGTTAAGAATGAATGTCCTTACAGTAATGAAAATAATTCATTAAATCAGTATTTCAGTCGTTTAGTCAATACAGTCATATGTGGTACATCCATTAGCATAACAGTACAGTAAACAGTAGGTCTTAAAAGACCGAGCAGTAAATGATGGCCATCAATCAGTACCAGTAGTGGTTCCAACAAGGGAACCGACAGAGATCTCCATAACAGTAATAGTCGGTAACAGTAGTTGCTAAGGATGCCACAATACAGTTCAGAATATAGGACATACATTCATTTAGTTAACAGTAATCAGTTCAGAAAGCAGTACAGTTCAATCGTTCAGAAGATAATCAATTTGAACATATCTTTACACAGTTGTTACTCACAGTGTTCTGGGCTACAGTAAAGCTAGAGCGCGTCCCCAGTCGCCAACCCTACACAGTTACAGATTGAACACACACTAAGCTACACAGTTGGGAAAGATAACAACTTAATCCCTAATCTGCCTCGGTGTGGTTCTACATCTATATCCTCAATAAGATGTCTTAAACTAGGCCTAAGAATGCCTAGAATGAGATGAGGATGCAAAGATGCACTTGAAAAAGCATTTTCAAACTTTTCAGAAAACAGGGGTCACGCTCGAGCGTAGGTTACCCCGCTCGAGCGAACATGCAGACAAAGGTTTCCGCTCAAGCGTAGACTTACCTGCTCGAGCGTTCTGCAAAACAATCAAAAGTGTTGGATAGGCGAAAATCACGCTCGATTGGGCAAATTGTTTGACATTTGATACACTTGTTTTGTTGCTGAGAGGACTTGCACAAGAAAGTCCCACATCGGTCCAAGACAGAAGTGTGGTCAAGAATGAGTGCTTATAAAACTCCCCCACATGGCCCAATATTTTTTCACTCAAGAAAAGCAAATAATTCCAAAATTGCTATATATATATGTGTGTGTGTATACATATATATTATAGAAAATAAACTTGTGGAGTTTAACTTTTATTAATTAAATTTACACATATATAATAGGAAAAAAAAATTGAAAAGTTTAATATTTTGTTAATTATATTTATGTACATATTATATACTTATATATAAATAATATATAATATAAATACATATATCTAAAATATAGTTTGCTATATATATATATATATATGTGTGTGTGTGTATAAATAATTCTGATAAAGGCCAAATCAGAATTCATTACAACTATTTGTAATCAAAGCTTCAATTTGATGCTCTAAGGAGCCAATTGTTCCAAAAACAAGATGAAAACATGGACTTAACATAACCATGAGCATGCATGAGACAATTCTCCATGGAATTAACTCAAAATTCAATAGTATAGGCATGCATGCATGAATTAAGCTAAAATTCAACAATTAAGAGCCATAACTTGGCTCTAGACTCCAATTTGCTCAAAACCATGCAAGAATCAATTCAAAACATACACAAGAGGCAATGAATCTACCTTAGGTCTAGTAGTTCAAGATGTACAAGCTCAATTTTGCAAAAAACTCCTCAATATACTTCAATCCTCCTAATTTCCAAGCAAGACCAAGCAAAATGAGATGAAATCTAACTCTCTCCCTTATCTCCCTCTCTCTAGTCGACAAAGGCAAGGAATGAGCTGAGCAAAAGTGTGCCTAGGTGTATACTAAGGCTCAAATGTTGATCATGGTGTGGGCCACTCATGTGGCAAAATGGTAAATAAGGCCAACTATGCAATTTAGCTCATTTTAACCTAATTTAATCGTACCTAATCAGTTTTCAGGTAATTACACCATAAAATCACATAAATTACGATGATCATAAAACACTAATCGATTTCCGGTTCGGCCGCCGATAAGGCATTCAATTAGCAGTTTAAACACAAAGACACGAACAGATAATCAAATAACCAAACAGATAGAATTACAATTAAACAGATATACTCAGCCATTTCAGTTTCAAATTTCAGTCAGTCAGTTCAGTATTTTATTCAGTTCAGTTATCAATCATAATCAGTTTCAGTTTAACGGTAATCAGTGGTTATTTGGTAAACAGTGACGAGGGTTGTTACAGTTTTGATGAGATATGCACATGCATGCATAGAATTGCTATGAATTGCCATAAATTTTCATGATCTAACATGTAGCATGTAAATTATAAAAGATTGAGAGTTGGATCATACATGCAAGCATGTTTTTGTTGAGTTTCATGAGAATGAACACCATTTGCACCGTATTGTTGACATGCATGTTTGATCATTGGAGATATGGAGCTCATATGAGATTTGAGTGCATGAGCATTGATTATACCAAGAAATGTTGTTTTATTTTGAAGAATTGGACCATGATTTTGAGCAATTGGCCTCATCTTGCTTGTGTACTCATGATCCATAATGTAAATGCATGTTTTGGAACCCAAAATTACGAATTTTGAACCTTGGAGGTCGAGTTTGAGCTCAAGAACAAGTTTTGGAAAATCCAGAATTCTCGTCGTCCGCTCGAGCAGGGGAACCGCCGCTCAAGCGTAAAATACGGGCTCCCAGTATATTTTGCAGACATGATGTCCGCTCGAGCGGGTAAGTTCACGCTCGAGTGGGGAGCTATGTAGACTGACCTTAAGCTCGAGCGTCCGAGTTCGTGCTCAAGCATAAAAATGATGTAACTAGAACTTTTGCAGACCTAATGGGTCCGCTCGAGCGGGAGAGTCCACGCTCGAGTGGGGACCCCTGTTTCTGAAATTTCGTAAATGTGTTCTGTGTTTCATTTTCCGTTCTCTTCCACTTTTAAGTACTCTTAGGCATGCATTGAGCATTGTAAATGAGTTATAAAGATAAGAATGAAGCCTAAAGAGGAATATGTAAATTAAGAACGGATTGAATTGTTTATGACCCATTGTGTTCATGGAATGTGTAGGGTCAAGCTCCAGGGCGAATCATCCAGCCAATCACTGTGAGTAATATCTTGACAAAGATATCTGAAGTATGTTATTTGTCTAATTGCTTACTTTCATATAAGCCTTGTAAGTTTGTTATATTGAATTGGGGACAAATATTTGTTATGCCATGTGAGTGGGCCATAGGCCGTTAGACATGAATGATTGGGCCGAAGACCACTGGACATGAACGATTGGGCCAAAGGCCATTGGACATGAATGATTGGGCCGAAGGCCGTTAGATATGAACGATTGGGCTAAAGGCCAGTTTGATATAAATGAAAGTATGAGTGGGCTGAAGGCCAGTTTGACCTAAATGAAAGTATGAATGGGCCGAAGGCCAGTTTGACGTAAATGAAAGTATGAATGGGAAAAAGGCCCGTTTGACATAAATGAAAGTATGAATGGGCCAAAGGCCCGTCTAACATGAATGAAAGTATGAATGGGCCGAAGACCAGTCCGACATGAATGAAAGTATGGATGGGCCGAAGGCCAGTCTGACATGAATAAAAGTATGGATGGGCCAAAGGCCAGTCTGACACGAATGAGAGAATGGATGGGCCAAAGGCCAGTCTGACACGAATGAGAGAATAAATGGACCAAATGCCAGTCTGACATAAATGAAAGAACGAATGGGCCAAAGGCCGTTTGACATGAATGGATTGGGCCCGAAGCCGTTCGATGTGTTTGGAATCGCAGTTACTTGACCTATGTATGTATATATATATATATTAGATAGAAATATGAATTGGGCCCAAGGTCGTTTGGTGTACATTGTTCTAAGTACCGTTCGTGTAACTTCTTTATTTGATATTATTCACTGGACTTTCGCTCACGCTCATTCATGTGTTTATAGGTGAGCCAAGAGAGGTCCAAACCCAGCCTCAGTGAAGTTTGTGTGGAATAACCAAGGTTTTGAAGAGTCAGCTCTTACGTCTCACGCACGAGACCAGTCCTCGCCCTTTTGCTATCTTGTTTTATTTTGTTATGTTGGCGAGGACTTTGGATACGTTTGTATATAGTTTTGATTGGCTGACCTAGACTTGAATGATCCTGTCTGTACAGAACTTTATGTTACTATATTTTTTTATGTGAGTTATTAATATGTATATGTATGGTTTGTTATGATGTACCATGTAAGCACAGCTTTATGGACAAAGTTTTAGAAATTGCTTCCGTTTGGCCCCTTTACTCTGATGAGTTATGTTTGGTTGGTTTGAGGCCGTAGGTAATCTCAGGATTACTGGCCGGTTATGTCCTTAACCCATGGGGGTGGGTTCGGTCGTGACAAATTCAAATGTAAGCACAAAGACAAACGCAGCAGCAACACTACTATCAAAATAAGTAAATAGCAGGATTGCAAAATGACAGTGTTCCTATTTCATAAAATTTTATATTGTGGGAGTACCCATCTCATAGTTCAAAAAGTTGAGGACATCTCGCTTCATCTTCACCACCTGCACAATCACCCCCCAAAACATGTACAAGCATTGATAGATTTTATTTGTGGCAAAAGAAAAAAAAAAGAAAAAAAAAGACGAAGACAAATTCGTGGGGACAAACTCACATTTTCCTTTATATAAGTATTATCTATTATATAGCAAAAATCTTCAACATGGGAAGGACTGATCACTTCATATTTGCTGCATTATCAACCATAAAAGAGTACCATTAAGAGAATCAACCCACGTAATGACCAAGAAAAATAAGACTATATATGATGGGGTTCATGAGCATACTAGGCAACAAGCATGCAAGAAACACCAAGAAGCTAAAACTTGTTCCTGCTTACAGCATGAGATAGGAATCTGTCAATGTAGGATACAATGAGATAAAGGGTGTCTGAGACAAGTTTGTATTCCTCTGCAACCTCAACCAACCAATCCAATAGAATATCTCGCATAGTTTGATTAATATCATTTTGAACCTTTTCCATTTAATTGGGTAAGGGTCTCCTCTTTTTCTCTACCTGAATTATAGTCCATAATTGGATTAATACAAATTCCATTGTCCCAAATTAACACTACTCTTACCAAGTAAGAAACAAAGCTTAGCACCAATTTCATGTTCCTGAAATCAAACCATCCAGAGAATTGAAACAAAATTGAATAACACATCAAAAGCCCTAACACTTGAATGAGAGAATTGTTCCCTATGACAGAATTTTGGACCCTTACAAAAATATGTAAATGGCTATCAAAACCAAAAACCCTAATATTCCATCGGAAAAGATTATAGGATATAGACAAAAATTATACATTTGAAGTACAGATTCGTTTAAACCAGGAAGTCCAATGAAAATGACAACTCTGGTAAGGAAAATAAGCTCTTAGAGAAGTTAAGAATTTTGTGAGTTAATCTACCCAAACTTCTACAAGAAAACTTCAAGAAGGGAAACAAACCACAAACAAAATTTTGTGTCACTAAAAATTAATAATACAACTACTTCAGCAAATAAGTTCAACTTGTCTAGCCACAAACAATATATAAACTGTAAAAATAAATTGATGTATATTATTGATTGATAGATTACAAGATTGATAAATTACAATTCCTATACAATCTATATATAGAAGAAAATGTGGTAGTAGGTGTAGTGGAGGTGATAGTGGGTTAGGTGAAGTGGAGTGTGTGGTGAAGTGGAGGTAGGTGAAGTGGAGTGTGTAGTGGAGTAGGTGAAGGTAAAGATGAGAAATTCTAACATAAACCATTGACCAAATGAAATGAAGCCAAGAGTACGACTATACACTAAACAGAAATAATACAAAAGATGCCAAAGCCAAAGCTTTTATGTGGTTAAATGATGACCTGTTGTGTAAACAGGTGGATCAACCAAGAACACTAATTCCAGAGCCAATTTTTTCTAATAAGACACATTTGTTACAGCCTAAAGGCAAGATAAAATTACAGACAAACATCAAGTACAAGATGACAAATCATATGAGGGAATAATAACTTACTTGCCAGCATAGATGGTGTCCCCAATAAGCCCATTAGCCTCTTTAATTTCCTCAATACAAACCTACCGTCAAACCAAATTAAGAAAACAATATTCAAATCAGAACCCAAAATCAAAAATTAAAACATGAAACTGTCAATATTCAACTTAACATTTTCTTTCCTATTTATACTTTAAATACTAAAAAATATAACTGTCACAAAAATAATATATGTTATACATCACTACTGTTTGTGCCGAGCAAGGGGAGGTGTATGGGTGCCACATCCAGGATGTCTAATTTTGCGAGTTCCCTTGCGACATGGGGTTTCTGGAACCTATATGACACCCTCCTCAGTAGCTTAATGTCTATCTCGTTTCCTCCTATAAGGAACAGGGTCCACAGGCGCAATAGGTAGTACTCACTCATCAACATGTGACCCCCTTCCTCACAATGTGTAACTCTCTCAGTATTCAATGGAATCCAATCTCCGCTCTGAGCACCTTCCTCTTCAGATTGTGTAATAGCAGATACTGGGACCTCCTCGTGCAATGCATGTGTAGTCCTAAGATGTTGCTCATCAGCATGTGATCCCCTCTCTTCACTATGTGTGATTATCTCAGTAAAGGCTGGAACCCTCTGAGGTGATTGTGTCAGTCCGTCTTTAGAATGTAGAGCCCCTGCTGCTGTATGAGAAACACCCTCCTCAAAATGTGTGACCCCCTTTTCATGTTGTTCTGTCATTGCATTCCCAAAATCTTCCATGTGGATAGGGGTTTGACACCAATCATTTAACATGGATTTGAGGTTTGGTATAGAGGTAAAGTCCCTCTCAACTTGTGGCTCACTATCTACCCCATCAGATGGTTGTGCCTCTGCATATGCATGAACGCTAGGTTGTGGTGGAGATACCCCTACGAAGCGATCTTGCTCATATGTGATCCTTCTAGAGATACGTTACATATTTGTACCAAATGACCACTCTAACAAACATAATGAAAATGTTAAAATTGAAAAACCATATTGAATATGAGTAATAATGTTGACAAATAAAAATAATATATATATATATATACGTACCACGAAATCATATGTACATGCAGCACGACTAATGTGTCAACGAGTGATACGTCGATACCATACCATGTAAGGATCATCATCATGCATATCACCATCCCATGGTTCACCTAGAGCAATGCGGGTTCAGCGTTGATCCCATAATTGAATCCACTCTTTGTGATGCTTCACCCAATCTTTAGTTTTGGTTCCACATAAATCAAGGTCATGAAGAGCAGTGACAGTGTCACAATCGTAGGGTATGGTCTGCCAAAATCCAAGTTGTCGTTGTACTCTATCACGATGGTGCATCTCGACAATGAAAAAACAGATCAATGGAACTACTGCTTGCCATATATCTACACCATCCGATCAATGTGGTGGAAGCTCCTCAATCAACTCAGTACTGTAAGGTCGCCACAACACCTATGACATAAGTAATAAGTATAAGTTAAAAAATGGAGCAATATAAGTAACTCATTTTTACTACGGTAAAACATGAACAGAACACTTACTTGTGCAAAGGTTTGCATGTCCAAGGAATAACGATATTAATGGAGGACACGAGTGGAAATCTCTCGAACATTAAATGCATCCCATCAACTGAAGATTTTAAACAAATGAGTATATTATTTATCAATACTATAATAATGTCTAAATATTCATAGCAAATTCAAATATAATAACATGTAAATGATTAATACTGTGTGATGAGCAGACCGTCCGCTATTATATAACGATCCCAGTTTTGACCCGACACTTGTGGTAGTTTGGACTCGGGTTTATAATTTTTGTATGTCGTTCATTGTCTTTTGCTCTTTATTCCTCCTTAAATTTGGTTATTTGGATGTGTTGAGTGTTCTTGGAACAAGTTAGTTGCTTGGTTTTCAAACCTTGTGTTGCCTAGAATTTTGGTCATCCGCTCGAGCGGCCCTTCTTGCGCTCGAGCGGGATTTGCAAACTCTCAGTACTTTAAACGTCTGCAAAAGTACTGGAGGGGTGTTTTCCACACTCAAGCAGCATTTTCTACGCTCGAGCGACCTTTTTTACGCTCGAGCGATTTGCCTGTCATCTACAAAAGTACTGGATGTATGTATTCTGCACTCGAGTGGGTCAACTCTTGCACTCGAGCGGAACAACTTATTGTGTCTGACGCTAGAGCATCAACTCTTGCGCTCGAGCGGACTATGCGTATATCAGAACGCAAAAATGACTTTTTACATCACTTTTTCAGATATTTTCTTCCAAAAACCCTTAAGTGGGGCTCTCAATAAAATACAAACTCTCTCTACATTTTCTCCTTGATCCGTTGATCTCTCCGCCCTAGTGTCTTTGGAAAAAAAGGTAGAGCATCTTGAGAGCTTCATTTTGATTCGATTAGAGTTTGGTTTCGGCGTCGTTGGAGTTTCGTGCTTGCTCCATTGGTCTTCTAAACTTGAGGTAGGGACTCTCTATACCTTAATATGGGTTTTAACTTGGTTATGTGTTGTTATATGAAACTGGTAAGATTTGGGGGTGTTTTGAGCAAACCTAGGGTTTGGGTTCAAGTTTGAAAAGAGGAGTTTCTATGTAGGTGTTATATAAATAATTATGAGATTTAGATATAAAGTTATTGTGTCAAAATAAATGATTTTGGCCCTTGGGTTAATATTTGGAAAATGGGGAGCTTGCCCTATAATATCTTGAATAATTGTTTTGTACAAATAATGAAATTAGTATGAAAAATGTGAAATTGGGAGGTTATGTACATGAATGGTGTTGTTGGATTTGCTCAATCACTCACCTATGGAAATTTAAGGATTTATCTGTTATAGAGATTGTTTATCTGTTTAGAGATAACTGTATTGGGTTATCAGTGGAGGAAAGTCATGATTGTTATAGACATTACATGTGGATTAGGCGAATTGAAACTAATTCTTAAACCATTATCACTGAATATGTTTATGAATGATATACATTGTATATGTATGATATTTGGGAGGAGAAAGGGGATGTACTCCATACTTTGAGGAGGAAAAAATGGATGGACTTCGTTGAACTAAGTTGGCCTGTGTGTTCAGGATGAAAGTCCCGAAAACCATTTCTATACATGGGTGCCGATTCCTGCGGACGAAATTTCCGTAAAATGGCAAATAGAAGTGAATGTATGGTGTGATTGATTTTAATTTGTTGGAAACCTGTGAGGTGTATCCTCTATTGGGTGGATTAAATGCAGTGGATGTATCTATTGAACCAAAATCAAAGGAATGAAATGTAAGTTTGGCATACCGTGGTTTTGGAGAAAGTCATAAAGATTTTGTTGTAGGATAATGAAAATGTGCATCATACTTATATCTTGTTAATTCTCATATACTTTGTTAGATTGTTTATACTAGGCTTTGGCTCACCCTACTTTGGGAAACCATTTTCAGGTATCGGTGACATGCTTCCTCCAAGAACGTAGCTTGGGAGGACCTAGGAGCTAGAGGCTCTATTTTATTGTTTTGTGCTTAATGTTTATTCAACCCGAGGGCTTTATATGTACAGAGCTTATGGCTCTCTTTTGTTGTAACCAAGCAATGTCTTGGAAAGATGTAAGCCCTTAGGGTATTTATTTTGTTGATCATTAACTGGTATTACATGCTAATTCAGGATGTTTATTTATGAATGTATGTTGCATGTGTTATCTTTTGTAACACGAACTCTGATGAATGAAAGTATTTTATTTCTGTTATTCTTCCGTTCATGAGTGGATTTATTATATTATTTTGGGGGCATTACATATTGGTTGTCTAAGAAGACGACGCGGAGTAATGTGGGGAAAGCTATACCACGCCCAGATTTGAACAAGGATGAGAAAACCAGAAATGTGATGCATACGTTCGCGAGATGCACGACATAACTCTCGATACAACCAAGCTAGTACTGCACTCCCCTAACTGTATTCCCCAGTAGCATCAAAGTCCTCTAGTAAAGGCAGAAACATCAATTACACCATATTACCAGATTTGCTTTCAACAATGCTACCACCCAAAAGCTGAAGAATGAATGCTCTAGCATAACGCTGAATTATGACATCATCAGCATCAATGGGTAAGTTATCACAAGTTTGGGAAAGCCACGTCATGTTCAACCTCAAGCCTTTGAGCTGGTTGGTAGATGGAACTGTCCCTAGAAGACGATTGCATATAGCAAGCCAATCATAACCAGTATTCCCTGTAACAGCGTTACCATCAACCTGTAGTCCAGATAAGATATTGACATCTTGCAATGAGATGGTTACCTCCCCAGATGTTAAGTGAAATGTGCGTGTCTCCGATCGCCACCTCTCTACTAGTGCAGTAATAAGATACCAATCTAACTGTATGAACGACACATGGATGAGTCCATAAAATCCTACTCTCTCCAAGTATGGGACTATGCGTGCATCAGGGCGTCCCATACGTGCTATCGTAGCCTCACGACGTCAACATGTACGTATAACGGAGTCAACATCATCTTGTGTAAAAATCACATAACAATATAACAAAGGAAGTGTCACATATACGTACCGAGGCAGTCCATGCTAAAGTAGATCGGTGAGACTGTTGTAGCGTCAACACAGTAGGATCAGTTGGACCCGGGTCCATCGCTACAATAACTTGCAAATAATATATCGAACATGTAAACATCAACATTGTGTTCAAATTTATGATACAATAAATGTGAACAATATAAATCAATAAACTTTTAATTAATTAAAATGAATAGTATCGTTTATTAATGGGTCAGAACAAGATACTATAGTCAAATATGTTAATAAAAACTATGATAACTAATTTAAATAGAAGTTTACTATCTCTGTAATCTACTTTTTGTGTACTCACATATAATACAAGGACAGTTTCATTGTAGTACAATTTAAAGAAAAAAGTTAAAGTAAGTTATCTCAATTGGGATGCAAGTGGATGCAATGGCTAATGGTTATACTGATCATGAATTGTTTTGTCTATGTTCTATTAAGGCCAATTTTCATCATGTTTTGTTATTTAATTGTATTGTTGGTTTCAAACCATAAATACAGATTTTTATTTATTTATTTATTATTTTGTATCCTATTATCTATTCTATTATATTATACAAAGTTCACAATGCAGAACATATTCTAAAGCTATATCGAAAGTGTCCAAATAAGCATTAGACAAGGGGGTCATGTCTACAAGTGTCGAACATTCCAAATTTCAATTCAATGAAATTTGTTTTCATGAATTCTTTTCCACTATGACATAGAATGTTATATTTAATGGATGACGATATTTTTATTACCTTGGCAACAAGATTGGAAACATCAGACACAACATTATATCAAAAGGTTAAACTATTGTAACTAATTACAAAGCATGTTTGATGCTAATGTAGAAATAACCTTCCTAGCAATACTTGGCATCATGAAATATCTATGCATCAAGCAATTATAAAAAAACATGTATGGAACAGTACAATGGGGTGTGTGTGTGCAAGGCATCACCAAATATCACCAAAATGCCTTCATACTTGGAGTTTTTTTAAGAGTTAATGCAATTATGTACTGAAATCGCAGCTTCAAGATGCAATTTCAATTTTAAATTGCATCATTAATATGCGATTCCAAAAAGTGAAATGATTTGAAGAGATAGTCAATTACATTATAGAAAGTTGAAAATTTGTTTTTATTTGGACTACAAAAAATAAATGTCACACAATCTCAAAAGTCTAAATCATCGAGTTTTTTTTTTTTTTTTTTGTGAATATTCCAAAAAAGTAAACTATTTCAGCAAGTCAAGTGAATATGAAATGGCATCTTCAAAATGCAATTTTCATGGATGCGATTTCACCATGCGATTTCACCATGAAATTACATTTTGAACATGCGATTGCATGCTGGAAAAAAAATATATTATCATTACTAATATTATTAGATGGTTTCACCCAAATTGTTGCATAATAAACCCATTAACAAAATGTCAAAGTCAAATCCTCCACTTCCATTTCACCATAGGCCCATTTGGATCCTATAATCACTGCTCACCTAGGGTTTTATTGATATATCATGTTTACAAATTTGGTCCATATCCAAGAGGGCTAAACTATTTGTCTGTGTTTATCTTTTTCGTACTTAAATTCCATTTCTCTGCTGCAACTTATTCCAAGCAGTAAGCTATTCTATAAGCAGAATCTAAGATAAACATAAAGAAAATATATATATATATATATATATAAACACTCTGTTCAACCAAAATCGTGAAAGAAAAAAATATAACACTAAATTCAACCAAAATCATAAAAACAATTCTTTCAAAACAGTTTGATAAATCCAATGCTCATGTTCAACAATGTAACCTTTGCAAGACCATCTTATTGGATTCCAAATCATACTTCTTTTCTGAAAATATCTTCCACATATGGTTCTTCTAATTAAGCCTTTTATGATTAAACCTTTTTTAAATACTTAAAGACTTCAGTCAAACCTATCAAAATGAAAATGCAAAAACCAACACAATTGAACCACAACTAGACCGACCTCAAGAAACAAACAAATGATATGGTCTGTAAATTGTATACCAACAAAAATTAGCCACATATTACTAGTTGTCCATTTCTTTTTTCCCTACGTAAAAAAGTTATGAATATATGCTGCTATTGACGAATATAGAGATAGGAATCAAAACTATGTCAGACTCCCAAAACCGGTGGATAAAAACAATTTTACAATGACTAAGAAAGTGCACCTTAATATGTATGACAAACCCACATAAGATTCTGGTGGTGGCAAAGGTTCTCGCCGTAGCGGCAACTGACGTTGTCGTCTTAAGGTTCCTGCCATTTCTTGTACCATTCTTTCCAGTCTATCAAGTCGGGTTGCGGAAGAGCCTTCCAGCTCGTATGCCCTTAATTTAACCATCCTCTACACAATTCTCACTAAACCTTGCCAAATACTGGGATGCCCAATACAAAAATAAACACAGATACACATAGTCATATTCGTATATAGGCACGTCTTTATATTCTCATTTCACATATCGTACGCAATTAATCACATACGTAACAGATAATTGCATACTAATCAAATATCACATGCTGAACATTTACTAAGTAATTATATACTCAAATCATGTTCATATTCCACATAGACACCCATTGGCAGAATCGGATGCACATAAACAACTTTTCGTGATTCATATATTCATGTATGTGCGTTATATCAAAACAAACTTGTTGTATACATTAGTGTAACAATTCATATCTCATATTCCAATCATGTGTGGTACTTCTTTTAGCGTAACATAACATGTTGGTCAAGCATAACAAGTTCCATAATGGAACCTCCGGTGCTGAGTAACAGATCTCATACGGGCGAGGACCTCATGACCATAAGCCACAGTATTATGTCCCCTGGGCGAGGGCCTCTGCTAAGGATACCATAATTATGTTCCAGGAAAATTTGGACAATCATTCATACAAAACATAGCATTCCAGGGTACTTGTCATTTCATATCATCAACAAATATTTAAAGTTAAACATAACTTTTAAAGTTAAACACAACTTTACGGAGTTCTTACTCACCATCTGATTAAACTTGCATTATACAATATACAAAAGATTCTACAAATATGCATATACTAGAGAGCATATGTAGTCAAACAATTTACAATGCAAGTACAGCACAACTTATAGCACATAATTGCCCAAATCAAAACACTTATGCATATTCTCGATGCTTTCGAATTCATACTTATCACATGAATGCATCCTAGATCTTTTCTATACGCTCATTGCTCTTTTAGACAAGTGCGTGAGTTATTAACTCGTGCTCTGATACCACTCTGTCACGACCCGAACCCGCCCCTATGGGTTAAGGCCATAACCGGCTAGTAATCACGAGATTACCTACGGCCTCAAACCAAATAAGACAAGACTCATCAGAGTAAAAGGGGCCAAACGGAAGCAAATTTAAAACTTTGTCCATAGAGCCGTGCTTATATGCACACCATAACATTCCATATGTACATATGTTAATAACTCACAACAGAAAGTGTAATGACATGAGATTCTATACAGACAGGATCATCCAAACTAAGTCAGCCCATGAAAACTATATACAGACGTATTCAAAACTTCGCCAACCTGACAAATGTAAATACATAACAAAAGGGCGAAGACGGGTCTCGTGCGTGAGACACAAGGGCTGACTCTCTCAAAACCTTAGTTGTTCCATACAGACTTCACTGAGGCTGGGTCTGGACTTCTCTTGGCTCACCTACAAACACATGAATGAGCGTGGGCGAAAGCCTAGTGAATAATATCAAATCAAATACAGAAGTTACATAACAATGTAGGACAACATGTTCCAAACGGCCTTGGGCCCAATTCATATTTCTATTTAACAGATATATAACTATACGAAATTCAAATCAAGTGACTGTAGTTCCAAACATTCTGGCCTTTGGCCCATTCAAATTTCCATTCATGTCAAAATGGCCTTCGGCCCATTCGTTTACGTCAAAACGGCCTTCGGCCCATACATTCGTGTCAAAACGGCTTTCGACCCACTCATTCATGTCAAAACGACCTTAGGTCCATTCAAACATGTCCAAACGACCTTCGGTCCACTCATTTCTATCAAAACGACCTTCGGTCCATTCATTTATGTCAAAACGACCTTCGGTCCATTCATTTACGTCAAAACGGCCTTCGGCCCATACATTCATGTCAAAACGGCCTTCGGCCCACTCATTCATGTTAAAACGACCTTAGGTCCATTTATTTCTATCAAAACGACCTTAGGTCCATTTATTCATATCGAAACGACCTTCGGTCCATTCATTCGTTCATGTCAGACTTTTGTCCACAATCCCAATTAGCAACTCATAAAGCTTGTAAGGGAATAAACAATTGGACATTGCTAAGCCTTCAAATATCGATATTACTCATAGTGATCGGCTTGTGGATTTGCCCTAGAGCTTGACCCTACACATTTCATGAACACAAAAGGGTCACTAACAATTCAATCCGTTCTTTAATTCACATATTCCTCTTTAGGCTTTATTCTTATCTCGTTAACTCATTTACAATGCTCAATGCATGCCTAAGAGTGCTTACAAGTGAAGAGAATGGAAAACGAAACACAGAACGAGCATACAAAATTTCAGAAAACAAGGTCCACGCTCGAGCGTGGACTTACCCGCTCGAGCGGACCCGAGAGGCCTGCAAAAGTACTAGTTACCTCAAAATTACGCTCGAGCGTGAGTTGAGTGGAAGGCTTGTCTATAAAAGCTCCCCGCTCGAGCGTTAAATATTCCGCTCGAGCGGACATCCAACTCTGCAAAAAGTGCTGGGAGCACGATTTTCCCGCTCGAGCAGCAATCATTCCGCTCGAGCGGACATCAAAAATCTGGGTTTTCCAGATTGAGTTCTTGAGCTCCCTTCAACATTCAAACCATCATTTCTTACCTTTAATGGCTCCAATTTCACATATACTTGTACTAACATGGTATACACACCAAAACACATCTTCATGGAGCCCAATTTCATAAATCAAATACATGCATGGCTCAATTTAATTCAAGCTCAATTCCATCATACATATTCATGCATTCAAAGCTCCTATCTTTAATTATTCAAACATGCATGCTAATTTTGACTTCATTTCCATTCCAAATAATGCAAATGGTGTTCATTCTCATGGAGCTCAACAAAACATGCTTGCATGTATGATTCAACATTTACCTTTCCATATTCAACTTAATACATGCTTGATTATGCAAAATCATGGTGATCCTACACATGCATGTGCACATTAGCTTCAAATTCATCAATTGTAGCACAACTCTTGTTCTTGATCACCAATTAGTCTTTAATTCACAAAATTACAAGTTCAATCTCATGAATTTACTCACCTAGGAGTTTAATCTTCCAAACCCTAGTCAATTCTTGGACTTAATCTTCAAGATTCCCAAGCCTTGAGCCAGAACCACACAACTCTCTCCCTTCTCTCTCTCCCCCCCTCTCTCTCTCTCTCTTCTTGAGTTCAAAATCAGCCAAAGTGTTAAAAAGAGGAGGAATTGAAGTGTAATGGCCCTTATGTATAAGCCCACTAATCAAGTTTAATAATAATAAATAATATGACACTAATTCATTAATTAAATCAATGTAATCTGACCTGAATCAATTTTTCAATTAAATTTCACCGTAGGCTCTAAAAATTATGCCAATCACAATGGCGTAATCAATTTCGGGTTCTGTGGCCGATAAGGCCTCAAATTTAATTTTCAAAGTGGTAAAGTCAAACAGATATTCCTACGGTGAACAGATAGAAATTCAAAACCACATATTTTCACATAATGGCATACAAAACCATAACAAACACATAATCACATCATATTAAGGACCAATTAACATATTACGGAACAGGGGTATTACAATACTCATGGATATATGAAATTAAAATAAACTTGGAACCCATAGATAAATTCCTTATATTCCACCATGACTCCATGGATTGTTGTTTTATTTGAGTGATAGTGAGAGAGTGTATAAGAAAAAAAATGTGAGAATTATGAGATTTATTTAAATGCCTTAGGCTTGGCATTGTTATATTTGTTCTCATGAGTAGATGAGAGATTGTGTGTGTATATATATATATTGTTGCCTCGTTCTCATGAGTAGACGAGTGCCTTGATTTACGGGCGCAAGTATGTGCTACCCATCCGAGGAGTGTAGGTCAAACTCGGGACGATATCCCCGTGCAAGTTTGGCTTCGAAGTGGTGTTAGGTATATGGGAGGCACATGGGATATATGTGTAGGCCGGAAGTGAAGAGCCAAAGTGGTGGAATTAAGGTACAAATAATTAAATATGAGTTTATTAGTATAGTGTGAATTGTACTAATTTGTACATCCTGAAAAATAGTAAACGACCTCGTTAAATTATTAAATTTGGGCAGAGGCATGTATACGTAATTTTAGACAACTTTTGTGTTTTAACTTTTTACTAAAAAGATCGATTAGAACTTGTAATCGGATTATCTTGGTTACAACAGTTTTTGTTCATTTTAGTATTGCAGATTTTAGATACTGTTTTAACCCACGAAACGAGCTTATTTTTATTGGTTTCACTTAAACTGAAGTAAAACATTATTTTGCACACTTTTCATGTTTTCAATTTTTCTGAAAAAAATCATCTTAGGGTAGTTTATTTTCGTTTTCAGCTTCAGATTTTTCGGTTGAATTCCATCTAAGTTCTTCTATCAAGTTTTTCTCTCAACATGTTCAGTTTCTACTAAATTCGTTCACATAACCTTTTAGGAAATTTGATTCTGTACAACTTTTGTTTTTTGAGTTTTGGTCCATTCAAATTATTTAAATATGAAACGGTGCATTTTTATACTTCTTCAGCAAGTTATTTATGATTAAATTATACTAACTTTATTTTTTTTGCAGAATGGTGAGTCTTACTAACTTTTTATGCAGGGCTAACCCACCATATTTTAATTTTTATTTGGTTTATTTTATACTCAATTTATCTTTAATTGTGTACGGGTAAAAAATTAAATGCCACTGTATCTTGGGAAACTACCCCTTCGTCTCGATACGAGTGGAACTACTTGTCTTATCTCGTAACAAGAATTAATGTACTTTTTATTTGTGTCTGGTGAACACATGGGTGTCAATTCTTGTACTCATACTAGTATACTTGTATACTAACCCGTTTTGTCTCTTGGCAACTCGGTAGGAATTGATGGCGAGCTGCATCGGGTTCAACTTATAGTAATAGAGGACTTTGCGAAAGAGGATGTTGAGTGGGAGCCTAAGTTCGCACTCGATAAAAGCTACAACAGGGAAGGGTATAGAATCAGTTGTGGGCATGATAGAGTCATCCTTCCCAGCCAACCTCAGATGAACGTCGGCCGGGATGTCAAACTCTCACCTAAAGTGCT